GGCCCCCGGGCGCGGGCAGCGGCGTACCCTACTTCTACCTGAGCCCCATGCAGCAGCTGGTGGGCAACCTGCAGGTGAGCGTGGGCACCCGGGCCGGAGGGCCAGGCTTTCCACTGTCACCTGCACCCGCCAGGGAGGGACCCCGGCAACCACCCCTGACTCTGGGCTCCACCAGGGAAAGCTGTACAGGGCCCGGAGGTTGTTGGGGAGTTAAGCACTTCCTAAGGGTTTCTCTTGCCTACCCCGCCTTCCGAATTGAGAACCTTCCCTTCTGCGCCAAGAAGCTGGCATCCAACATCATGGACAGTAACTATGGTTATAGCAGCCTGTGGGCCTCCTGTGCACATTGCTACCTCGGCGGGAGGCAGAACTGATGGGAAATCCATCCCCCTCACCCTTTGCCCACCTTTTAGGGGCAAGGCCAAGTTTACAACTACCGGGGACCCCTGCCCTCCCAAGAGAGGTGTCAGACATGTGGCTGGGACGCTAGAGCCACACAGAGTTTCCGATTGAAGCTCGATTTGGTGGAGGGTCTTTTGACAAAGATCCCAGATTTGAGGTTAACTGGGAAAAGACAACGAAGTCGGTAAAGATAAGGTGAAAGCAAGTGATATTTGATTAAGCACCCACTATGCGCCAGGGGGACCATCACTTTCCGGTCCTTGTCTCTTGATAGCGCTTTGAGGAGGTGTTGCTGTCCTTATTGTGAGGCTTAGGTGGTTAAGTAACTTCCCAAAGCCAGTGGCCAAACAGGTCCATCCCCTTTACAACACAGCCCACAGGCTCATGAACCGAGTATGTCCACCAACCAGTTTTCCTTGGCCCACACAAGGTTCTGTTTTGTTTTTAAAATAAAATTGAGTTAGTTCCATCGTTTAAAAATTGAGATTTCAGTTAAAAATCTAAACTTGTAACTTCTTGAAAAATTGGAAGATCAGGTGACAGTGGGGGTCGCACGGTTTGAGCAAAAACAGAAGCAGCTGCCTCCTTAGCCCAGGCTCCCCTCCCTGCTTCGCCGTCTATTCCCAGCCCACTCTGCTCCTGGATCGTGTGCTCAAAGCAGGCGCAGTTCACTCCGTCAGTGGGGCTCAACCTCGGCTGCAAATACAGTCACCTGGGAGGACTTTTAAACACGATGCCAAGGCATTTTTTAAAATCCTCACCTGAGGATATTTTTCCATTGATTTGTAGAGAGAGTGGGAGAGGGAGAGAGAAACATTGATGTGAGAGAGACACATCGATGGGTTGCCTGCCACACACATCTGGATGGGGGCTGGAGATCGAGCCTGCAACCCAGATACGTGCCCTTGATCAGAGCCCTTGATCAGAAACGGGCCTGGGACCCTTCAGTCTGCGAGCCAACACTCTACAAGGCATTTTATTAAAATACATTTCACTAAAACACAGCCCCCTCCCATCCCGATGCTTCTGATGGGGGGAGTGTTGAGAACCACTGCTGTGCACGACATGTTTAAACTTGTGATGAAGACAGGCTCAGAGGGGCAGGGACTCAGCCCAGGTCTGACTGGTCTGGGAAGAGACAGACCCTGCCCAGGATTGCAGGTTTCCACGGTGGAGCAAAAAGGCAAGGCCACATCAGAGATAGTCTGACTCGGATTCCATCGTTAACCAATCAGGGTTGGTTTACAGTTTCTGCTTGTCCTCCTCCTCTGACCTCTGTCTGCTCCTGTCCACCCTGCCCACCAGGTTGACATGAACCATTTGGAATTGCCTTCTGTTCAGAAACCTTTACATCTGAAGCTTAAGATCCGCCTGGGTGTTTGTTTAAAATGCATGTACCTGCTCTGGCCAGCGTGGCTCAGTTGGTTGGAGCATCATCCTGTACATCATTTCCCATCAGGGCACATACCTAGGTTTCTTGTTTGGTCCACAGTTGGGGCTCATACAAGATGTTTCTCTCTCCATCTCTTCCTTTCTAAAAATCAATAAATGTCCTCAGGTGAGGATTTAAAAAAAAAATGAACCACTATGAAATGAAATGCATGAACGCAGGTTGGGAAGGGAGCCCAGAAATCAGCATTTTAAAAATCCCCAGCCGATGCCAGCCTACAAAAGACCACCTCGACTCCTGAGCTTGGCCTTGAACCACCCTCCCCCCACCCACTCCCCTCAGAAAGCCACTCCTTCAAGCAAGTTGGGTTTCTCACTACTCTCAGTCACCTCTTACACTTTCCCAGCTCTGTCTTTTTGCAGATACAGGTCCCTGGTTTTGAATACCTCACAAAGCTCCCTACAGCTTCTGTGTCACCCCAGGCCTTACTGACGGCTCTTCACACTGAACTTGAAAACCACTTAACTGTACCAGTCACTTGGCAATTAGTTATGTGTTGCTTTATGATGTCTTCCGTATCTTTGTTTTTGCAGTATTTAAGTTTTGTTTATGTCTGACTTTTCAACCAGACTATAAACTCACAGAAGGGGAGACTGTGTCCCAGTCCCCCGCCCTCTCTTTTTCTGCCTTTCCTGGTTGCCTTGCCTAAGAATGTATAGACGCAGATATTTGGCTAAATGGTTTCAAGGAGATTTCTTCTGACTGACTGTTTTGATGGGTCACCATGACATTGCAGAATTCGCCGCACAAGACCCTTTGCCTTTAAAGAGCTCTAAAATGCAACATGTGAACTTGGCTGCAGTCTGTCGGCGATGCCTTTGGTGAAGCTGACTTCTATAAGAAAGAACTAGGAATGTTGCTTGCCTCAATTCTGAGTCCAAGCGTTCGCTTGCTGTCAGAGCAAGAATGAACTTCTCCTGTTTTGAAATCCCGTGACCGTGTCTGCCAGCACAAGATCACCAAGAAGCATGACTCAGCCACTTTCTCGCTGAAGCTGTGGAAGTGGCTAGTTGAGCAATTGGTTTTTTATGCACTAGTTTCACATCAGCGTCTAACCCTTTGAGATCTGTTGAAGGTATAGAGCGGCCTTGTGCTTGGGTGGTACTGTAATAATAATTTCTCTGGGGAATATGGGACAAGTTAAGAGTTTAAAAAGTGTTGAAATAATTCTGAGTCAGTGTTTTTAATCTTCACCCGAGGATATTTTTCCATTGATTTTTAGAGAGAGGGGAAGAGAGAGGGAAAGACAGAGAGAAATACTGATGTGAGAGAGACACATTGGTTGGTTGCCTCTTGCACTTGCCCCAACCAGGGCCAGGGCTAGGGAGCAGCCTGCAATCCAGGTATGTGCCCTCAACCGGAATTGAACCGGGACCCTTCAGTCTGCAGGCTGACGCTCTATCCACTGAGCAAAACCGGCTAGGGCTCTGAGTCAGTTAAATTTAAAATGTGAGTGCCCCTCCCCCTTTTTGGAGAGGGGGTCAAGATTATTCTCTATCAAATAGACATTGTCTGGAGTGAAAGATGGTGTTTCACAATGCATTGTTTTCTGGAAGAACTGGTAGAGTTCTGGGCATGGTGTGTGTGCACGATGTGAAGCTGATTGCCGCTCCAGACTCAGTGTTTCACGAGAGGGTCTTCATCTTCTCTCTCCAGGAGAATCCATCTGCTACGCTGACCATGTCTTTGGCGCAGACTAACTTCTGCAGGAAACATGGATTTGATCCCCAAAGCCCCCTCTGCGCTCACATCATCCTGTCAGGGACTGTAACCAAGGTATGTAGTTACTGCAGGAACAGACCGGCTTTAGAAGACCGTCATCTTGTTAACAATGAAGGAGAGACAGTTGGAGAATAAAATCAAGCTGGTGTGTGATTGAGATGCAGAGTTAGAATATGTCCTCATGTATGAAGTAATTTCACAAGCAGCCAAAGATTTCATCAGTTGCTTTCATAGAGGTGTTCCATCAGACACTCAGGAGCAAAAGGGACTATTTCTTGAGGTCAAACAGATCTAATAGCTGGGAAGCCCCTTAATAAGGGACATCTCAGCCCAAGCTCACTCTCCTGCCGTGTTGTACACTGGACAGCATGCGCCCTTCCTGTCTCCACACTGACCGTGGGTTAGAGCAGAGAGCGTCCCGAGTAGGTTAGAAGGGGAGAATCCATTACTAAGTCCCGGGTGTGCATGCGGACAGTTTGGGGTGAGTGCTGGAGGGAGGAGGTTCAGTAAAACCGTGGCGAATACAGAGGGCAAGGTGTCATGAGCACTGACTGATGGCCCAGCCAGCAGACTCGCTTCCTGACCTGTTGACCCCGGTTTCGCAGGCCAGTTCTGTTTATGGTCTCGAAGTTCTATGTGGAGACATCTCTGTGTCTGCGTGCCTTCACGGGCAGGAGGAAGGGGCGGGGCAGCAAGTGCTCCTGACTCGCTGTGTCTTCTAAAGACTCACCTTGTGTATCTGCAGCCCGTGCTTCCCACACATCTGTCCTGGGATGAATGAGCTAATGGGATACGTCATTGGCACCAGGCACATTCGTGCTAGTGCCTCCTGCCAGTCCTCTACCAGCTCAAAATTACCGTTTAGCAATGAAAACGGGCTTGCACTGGTCTCTCATGTCCACACCCGTTCTCATCTCCATGTGAGCTCTTCATTGCTGTCTGCATTACTCAAGCTTCCTTCACGCTTTCTTGTTTCCTTACGTTTATGATCTGGATGTATAGTAGACCTTAAAAGGTCTCATCACACACACACACACACAAAAAAAAAAAAAAAAAGAGAAAGAGAAGAGGAAAGCATTTTTGTAAGTACTAGTATGTGTGGCGATGGATGTTAACCAAATTCACTGTGGTGGTCATTTCACAATCTATACAGGGGAGGCAGAAGTCACTTTACAGTTGTGAGTACTCGAAACACAGAGTTTATTCTTGTCTTATTCTGAATTAGCTGTACCCGGCCATGCGTTGCTGTGGCTCAGTCTGGTTAAATGGAAAAGAAAGAAAAGAGAAAGCGCACGTTTCTAATATGTTTGATTTCACAATGCTTGTGGGCATACAATATTTTTTGTTGTTCCATTGTCTGTGCAGATATAGTGATTGTCTGGTTGGCCGACTCTAGAACACGCAACATATAATTGTCCATGTGAGAAGCAATCCACGTCTAGTTCTAAACCGCACAATTCTAAAGATTGGCCCTGAGTTTTGTTGATGGTGATTGCAAATGCCAATCGAATTGGGAATTGCAATCTCTTAAATTGAAATGGCATATCTGTTGGAATCATAGGAATGTGAGGAATGAGGACATCTTCACCTTTGAAAGGTCCTGTCAAGATTGTTGCTTCTACGATGTTGCTCATTAATTTTTTTACTGCAAGCCGCGTGCCTGTCAAAGCTTTGGCTGGTTGACATTTCGCAACATGGTAATTGGCACGCCGATTTTCAATTGCAGTACGTGCGGTGGCATCCCTGGCAGATCGCGTGAATTCTAAAATTCTGTTGGATAATTAACCGCTTCATCTGCTTCCACAACAGTGTCAACGGACTTGTATGTGACTGCCTCACTTTGAATGTTAGACTGAATAATATTGTTAAGTTCGTAGATGTCTTTGTTCTTGGCCGCAAGAATAGCTCGTTCACTCAGCCAATCGTGGTTCTTATAATTGGTTTGAATATTGGGAAATACTTTTTCAACCAATTCTTCTTTTGACGTCACTAAATTGCAGAAGTTATGAGGCAATGAAATTCGTCCTGAGGTCAGATCAGCCTGCACCTTTCCGTTCCCAATTTCCAGCAATTGATGTGAGAATATCTCAGCTGATGAATCATTTTGCAGCTGGACACGCATATTTGTAGTTAATTTTATCTACAATTTATAATTGTAAACAGAAACATTGAAATGGAATTGTAAAATATTTAGTATAGCGTGTGTTACTTTTACATCCAACAGATGGTGCTGTTTTTCAAAAAAGCATGTTTTTACCTGTCACAGGTGTGACATCTATATAATAGTCTATCTAGGTATATAAAAACACACATGTATTAGAATGCAACGTTGTGTCAAAATTTCAAAGCAATTGGTGAAGAACTTTCGGAGATTTAAGATTTTGAACAAACGAACATTTACATTTTTATTTATATAGATTAGAGGCCTGGTGCACGGATTCATGCACCGGTGGGGTCTTTTGGCCTGGCCTGCAGGGATCGGGCCAAAACCAGCTCTGTGACATCCCCTAAGGGGTTCCGGATTGTGAGAAGGCACAGGCCAGGCCGAGGGACCACACCAGTGCATCATTGGGGCTGGGGATGGTCCACGGGAGGGCTCCAGGGTGTGTCCGGCCCATCTTGCCCAGTCCTGATCAGCCGGACCTCAGCAGCAAGCTATCCTACCAGTCAGCACGTCTACCCCCTGGTGGTCAGTGCACATCATAGCAAGCGGTTGAGCAGCCTTAACATATCATTAGCATATTACACTTTGGTTGAACGGCTGACCAGACACTTAGCATATTAGGCTTTTATTATATAGGATTATATCTTAATTGGAAAAAAAAAACAGTAAAAAAATCAGGATCTGTAACTAAACGCTTAGGATGTGTGGAATACTAGAATCACATTGTTAACAGATGAGAAGACTGTCCCCACTGTGAGCATGGTCACTTCACTGTCTTTCAGGTGAATGAGACCGAGGTTGACGTTGCAAAGCAGTCGCTGTTCATTCGGCACCCTGAGATGAAAGACTGGCCTTCCAGCCACAACTGGTTCTTTGCCAAGCTGAACATAACCAACATCTGGCTCCTGGACTACTTCGGTGGACCCAAAATCGTGACGCCCGAGGAATACTATAATGCCACATTTCAGTAGGTGTGTATTTATCCACCGTGCACCTTATTTCGAAGCCCTCACCAGGGGTCCTAAGCCAGGGGGTGGCTCCTTTGGCAGTCTGGTAAGGCCTGTGACCACACTCACAATAGTATTTTTTTAATGCATAAAATACATAGGATTACAAAGCAAACGACTATATTGAAGTGCATAAAATATGTCTTGTAATTGTGGTATCGTGATATGTTGGCTCTTTAATGAGCACATTCAGTAACATATTAAGGCACCTGCAGCAGCTCTAATGTGACATGAAAGCGTCTGTGTTTCTGTTGGTGACGGGCCCAGGTACACTGTCACCAGGTGGTTTGCTGCCTACATTCCTCAGTGAAGGAGATGATAAACCTCAGTCAGAGCTTAATGGGAAGGAAAGCTTTTTCTTCTACCCCAGTTCCTGGACTCCCTGAGCTCTGCCTACAGGCCAGACCCGTTCGAGGCTGTGCTGTGGGCTCTGGAAGAGCCGGTTCTGACCCAGGATGGCCTTTTCTCATGAGACTCAGACTTGGGTGCCTCTGGACTGAGTGACCCCACCAGAGTCTGAGCACATGGCCCCATGCCCAGCAGCCCCCAGGCCTGGGGGTGCCTGTGGGGCTGAGTGGGTCCCCTGCCAGCCAGTGGGCACCAGAGGGGAGGAGGCTGAGAGCCACGGGAGAGAATGAGGGAGGAGAGCAGGACCTGAGGAGGTGTGGTCAGGTGCTTTGCAATGAAGTCAGGGGTCAAATGAAGGAAGACAAGGGACTGATCTTTTCCCGGGTACACGGTAACCCTGGCATTCCTGCCATCTGCACGGCCTCACGAGCGGTGATGCGACCACAGCCACAACAGTAACAACAGCACCCAGTGTTTGCTGAGCTTCTCTTGCCGGCTGGGTGCAGTGTGGGTTGCTTATATGTATCAGCTCATTGCTCTCACCGCAACCTAGGAATTAGGTAACGTGGTCCCTCCTCTGTGAGATGGGGAGCAGCACCAGCTTCCTACCATGACGCTATGCTGCTCCTCGGGTCGCCCCCTGGTGGCCGGCCGGCTCCTGCTCCCGTGTCACTCCTGATGCAGGGTCTCCTAGCGATGAGGGACCGCTGTTGGCGGAGGTGAGGAGGGGATAGGAAGCTGGATTCATAGGTACAGCTCACGTTCGGGCTTCTGCTCCCAGCACTGTGTGTCCTGTCTTACTCCACATAGGCCAGGTCCACCTTGGACTGTTGACATCCCACCACGACTGTACATTTCTTCACAGCAAAGCTCAGCTTTTATTTATTTTATTTTTTTTGATATATTTTATTGGTTTTTATTTTTATTTTTTTTACAGAGAGGAAGGGAGAGGGATAGAGAGTTAGAAACATCAATGAGAGAGAAACATCGATCAGCTGCCTCCTGCACATCTCCCACTGGGGATGTGCCTGCAACCACGGTACATGCCCTTGACTGGAATCGAACCTGGGACCTTTCAGTCCTTAGGCCGATGCTCCATCCACTGAGTCCAACCGGTTAGGGCTCAGCTTTTATTTTTGAATCTTAAACACAGCCTAGGACAATGCATGGCACAGAGCAGGCGTCTCATAAGTGCTGGCGACTTGCCAGCCTGATCATCTGAGACGCAGATTCTCAGCTGCTTGTTTGAAAAGAGTCCACGCGCCTGCAGGAGAAGGGGCACAGGCAGGTTTGGGGCTGGAAACGCCACCTCGCTTTATAGGGACACAGGCGCCATTACAGTGTGCCAGCCGGGCAACACATCACCCAGGACAGTCAGTAAATGACAGGCCCCCTCTTCAAGGTTGAAGGGGACGTTCATAGGACATAAGCATCTCTGAAGTACAGTTATCTGCATGTATAAAAGCCTAAGTGACTGGCTGACCCGCTATGACTACCAGGGGGCAGACGCTCAACGCAGGAGCTGACTTGGCAGCTGTGGTTCTTGGGTGACACACCCGGAACCAGAGAGGAGGGAGCCCGATTCCGGGGTGTGTCACCCGAGAACTGCCCTCTCGCAATCTGGGACCCCTCGGTGGATGTCAGAGAGCCAGTTTCGGACCGATCCCTGCAGGCCAGGCCGAGGGACCCCACTGGTACACGGATCCGTGCACCGGGCCTGTAGTCATTGTATAAGTAACACGCCCAGGGGTGATGCTCACTTTAATAACAAAATACAGATGTTTTCTCTAAGTCTCCATGCTGAGTGAGTGAGACACGCCCGAGGTTCTCACTTCACAGGCGAGTGGCCTTTCTGCAGCTGAGAGATAAGCGGGCGTACGTCCTCCGTGACCTCTGACGGGGAGACCAAAGACGTGCCAGGGTGTGGCCCTTCTGAGGCAGGCGCAGAGTCCGGAGTGGCCCCACCACCATGCTGCCCACTCGGGTTGCCACCAGCACTAGTCCAGGGAGTGGACAGTGATACCCGTAGGGGCTGCATGTTCTTAGGGACCCCTCCCAGGGGCTGTGGGAGCTTCTGCCCCGTGGTGTCTGCCCAGATCAGACTTGGAGGATGTGACTTCTCCAAACGCCTGCACCCTAGACTCCGCTGCTCTCAGAGGCGTCTTTTGAGATGGCTCAGCACAGACGCCCCGGGTCGGGCAGTGAGGGGCCTCACGGACGTCGGTCTGCCTCGCTGGGCTGCTGGGGCAGAAGCCATGGGCACATCTGCACATGGAATGAAGGTTTAATGTTTACAGAGGTGTTTGCTGACGCCCTCGATAAGCAGTTTCCTCAGTTGCCTCCGCTCATGGTTCAGTCTGAGCACCAGGCCTCGTGCCAGCTCCTCGGCTGTGCCCACCTGGCCCAAGTAAGGACAGGTAAGGAGAGGTCATGGGTTACTAACTTGCCCGGCCTCCCCTGCCAGGAGATGGAGTTCCTGATAGCCGTGGTCCCGGCCGCAACAGGAAAAGGGTCCCAGCTGGACTCAACACCATCCGGCACCGGCTGGTTAACGCTCCTCTGCCCTAATGTTCAGGACCCTTTTGTCCTCAACTGTGTCTGTCTTTTAAACCTTCAGATATTCTGAGTAGAGAACCACACAGCCTGAACGGCGCTATGTCCGTGCACGTGGCCGCAGCAGCCTTGCACAAGAGGATGCTGGCTGGCGTGAAGATGCCTGGGCACCTGGATACAGAACTCCAGTCTCAGGTGCTGCTCACCACACTGGAGCGGCGGAAATTAGCTCAGAATCTTAAACTGTTAGAAGTGTCTCTAGTCTTTCCCTAGAATGAATTAACTTGTAAGATGCCAGCTCATTTAATGAAATAATCCTTCGTCCTCTCTCCTTCTGTTTAGGTGAAGCAGCATTTGGCGGATTTAACCACCCAGTGAAGTTCTTAGGATGTTTCATACAGACCCGAGGGCTTCGGGGTCCCCTGTGGGAAAGGTCCCGGAGATCAGCCTGGTTACAGCATCAAGTAGAACTGCTACTGAATTTCTTGGAAATGAGGTTGCTAAATTTTAGACATTTAAATTTATGCTTTTACTTATACACATGGTTTCAGAAGACGAGATGAGATCCCCCATCGAGGCGTGCCCGGCATCACCGCTGAGCCCCCAGTGGCTCAGAGAAAGGAGCGGATGTGCGTCATTATGTTTGAAGACAACAAATGAACTCACCCGAAATCCAGCCAACAGCCTCTGGTGAAGAAAAATGATTAAAAATAGAAAAAGAGAAATGATTTACATTAACCTTGGTACAACGGGTTTCTTATTCAAAGCATCAGTAATTAAAAGCATTATTTTAATGACCTGAGTTGGATTCATTTTCTTAAGATGCTCATATTCCTTATTGTCACTGGCCACTGGCGACCCTTCGTGTCTTTATGTCCGCGAGCTGCCGAGTCAAACCCTGCTTCAACGCTTCAAGGGACTCCGTCGGCCCGTTCCCTCTGATGCACAGCTCATGGTGTCCTAGAATTGGGGGCGAGGCCAGAATGCAGCCTTGGTCAAGGTTCCGCCCGCGGGGCCTCGGCGCTGACGTGCTTGTGGTGGAATTAGTTTGAGGGCACCTATCTGGTTTTCCCTTCTACCTATTTAGCGGGAGTTTTGTCTTCACCACTTGGCGCCATGTAAAAACATACCTGTTATCACAGGAAAGACAACCACTGGGTCCCAGCAGGGGGTACAGGTTGAATGGGCAGAATATGTTCCTGCTATTGACCACCAGGGGGCACTGCAGACCACTTTTTGTGTAGGCATCAGTTGCTTCTCACCACTGAGCTGAGTGATACTGTGGGTGGTGATGACTGGGGCAAAGGCAGCTCTGAGGGGACAGGAGGCGACATCCGGTCTCATGCTCCCTCCCTCCATGCCACGCGCTTCGGGTTCCTCTGCACCCCACGTCCTGCAGAAGAGGGACAGAGCCCTGGCCTCAACTTGCAAGGGCATGAGTGTCTGGGACGGGGACAGCCGCTGGCCCAGAGGGCAAGGCCGGTTCTGATCAAGAAAAGAGAAAATGAAAAGTAGAAAGAGGGAGTGACCGAGGAGCCGAAGCGCCTTGGATCCTGCTAACAGCCAATGAAGACGAGAAACTCCCTGTGAAAGGGGGCGGGCCCAGCGAAGGCAAAGCACAAACATCCTGACCACCTCGTTCCTGTCACGCTTCCCTCAGTGACACCCAGACAGAGGACCCAGTGACGGAGGACCCAGCGACGGAGCACCCAGCGACGGAGCACCCAGTGACGGAGGAGGGGACGCTGCCCTGCGACGGGCTTGCTTTCAGCTTTGCACTGAGAACAGAAACCACTGTGCTCTGTGTCAAGCTGGTGTGTCAGTATTTCTTAGGGAAATTCCAAACCATCACATCACAGCCAGGGGCTCTGTACATTTTTATCTGAGAAGGCAGAATGAGGGACGAACAAATCAACCAGTAAAACTTCATCTTTTTCTTAGTTTTCTCTTAGTATTTATTGTACAATGTGTGAAAAATATGGAAAATTTAAAAAGTTTAAAACATGACCACCTCACCAGCCAGCATAGCTGCTAACATTTTTATGTGTTTTCTTCCAATCTTTGCTTCCAATAAATGCCTAACTATAACATTGAATAATAAGATCATTGATCGTGTATCTCACTTCTTTCACTTAGTCATAAGCTTATGTTACTAGAGTCCGTAAGGATGGCTTGGTGGCTGCAGAACACTTCATCAGATCAACAATGGCCTGTATTAGCCCCTGTTGCTAGTGACAGAAGCCCTAGTCGGAGCCCTTTAATTCACTGACCTTACATATTCCTTCAAAGCTCGCCTTCATGCCCTGGTCCTCTTCTCTCCGAGTTGGTTTCACTTGCAGTCAGCAATCGTAGAGCGAAGAGGTGGCATCCTTCCCAGCCTGGGAGGGAGCCATTCCTGAATGGTCACTGTGTCTGGGAGTGGGGTGCCCTCACTGGCGCAGCCCGGGTCCTGGGTCCTTCCCCAGCTTGGGGTTCAGCTCAGTCCCCGTAAGAACCACAGGGACTGGGGGAATCAGAGAAGCTCCGTCAATGGGAGGGATATGGCCAGGCTGAGCTCAGTGCTGTCACCACTCCCCGGTGTGGGAACATATAAGTCACTTCCGATTTTTCCCTGTTGGAGAGACAGACCAATTTATACATCAATTAGAGGCCAGGTGCAGGGAATTTGTGCTCTGAGGAGGGGTGTCCCTCAGCCCAGCCTGCATCATCTCCAATTTGGGACCCCTCAGGGGATGTCCGACTGCTGGTTTAGGCCTGGTCGCCCCCAACTGCCCTCCCCTGCTGGACTGTTCGCCCACAACTGCCCTCCCCTGCTGGCCATCTTGTGGTGGCCATCTTTTGACAACATGTGGGTGGCCATCTTGTGCGAGGGTGTGAGGGTCAATTTGCATATTACCTCTTTATTCTATAGGATGGTATTCTACATGTTTATTTCCTTAGAGAGATGCCCAGCCACGGGAAAAAGCAGTTGGCACACGTTGTAAACTGCTCCTGAGAATTTCTACCGCTTAGTCCTACAAGCAGGTGTGAAAGTGCCCAGATCCGACAGGTAAGAGTGGCATTGACTTTGGCTTACTGGTAACTTTGGACTCTAACAACCCCATAAAGCCCTGGCTGGTGTCGCTCAGTTGGTTGGGCTTCATCCTGTGCACCAAAGGGATTGCTGGTTCAATTCCCAGTCGGGCACAGGCCTGGAGGCAGCCGATCGATGTTTCCTTCTCACATCAATGTTTCTCTCTCCCTCTCCCTTCCTCTCTCTCTAAAAATCAATTTTAAAACTATTTAAAAAATAGAAAACAATAAAAACCCAATGAATACTAGTTGATTTCCTTTCCTTTGCTTCAAATAGCAGTTGGTAACCTATAGGTTGAATTTTCTCAAAAATGTAAACACCATAGCCTGTTTATCCATCCATGTGCTGACTAATATTTTGGTGGTTTCCAGTTTGGGGCTTTTACAAATAGAACTGCTGTGACTCTTTTTTAAAAATATATTTTTACTAGAGGCCCGGTGCACAGATTCGGCCCGATCCCCTCAGGCCAGGCTGAGTGGCCCCACCGGTGCATGAATCCGTGCGCTGGGCCTCTAGTATGCATATAAGGTCTTTGGTTAATCTCTTCCCGCCCTTCCCCCTTCCCTCTTCCCTCTGAGATTCATCAGTTTGTTCCATGTTTCCATGCCTGTGTGTTGAGCATCTGCCCCCTGGTGGTCAGTACTCATCATTGCTACCAGTCGAATGGTTGCTTAGGCTTTTATACATATAGATTGATTTCAAAGAGGGAGGGAGAGGGAGAGAGAGATAGAAACATCAATGATGAGAGAGAATCATTGATCAGCTGCCTCCTGCACGCCCCCTACTGGGGATCAAGCCTGCACCCGGGCATGTGCCCTTGACCAGAATCGAGCCCAGGACCCTTCAGTCCACAGGCTGACACTCTATCCACTGAGCCAAACCGGCTACGGCTGCTGTGACTATTTATGTAAAGTCTTCCTATGGGCATATATTTCTTTTTGTCTTGGGTAGATACTGAGGAGCGGGTGGCTGGATCATACGGAGAATGTATGTCTAACTTTTTAAGAACCTGCCAAACTGTTCTCCCAGATGGCTGTGCCATTTTACACTCCCACCATCATCTATGAAAGATCCAAATTCAGGCCAAGTTCAGAACTGCAAGCTCAGACCTACTCCATCAGTTTCCTTTATAGATAAGGACACCGAAGCCCAGAGATGTTGAGTGACTTACTCAAAGCCACACAGCAAGCAGGTAGCAGAGACGCTGTGAATGCACAAGTAGTCTGTCTCTCTATTCAGCCTGACTCTGAAGCAGAGCCCTCGTCTCACCCACCACCATAACATCAAGTCTAGGGAAACGGCGTGTTCCTACATGCATCCGACCGATGTCACCAATTAAGGTAGGAATTAGATAAAAATGAGACCAAAGTTAGGGGGCAGGGGAAGGAAAATGAAACAATGGTTAAGTGAGAGAAAGAGCAAAACTCAGGCAGGCAGGCACACAGACACACCCCAAACCCTCAAACCTCCAGAGCTTCCTGCCTGTGACCCGAGGGGGTGTGAGCCTTGCTGTTGGCAGGTGCCTGCCTCTCAGAGGCCTAGTCCTCCACTTCCTGAGGAGGCCGCCCCAGCCGCCGGCACACACTCCCTTTGTCACTTGTCCCGCACGGCTGCCAGGTCCCTGCGTCCCAGCACATCCCGGACTGACGGACGGACAGCATGAAGTGGGAGGCGCTTGTCATCGCGGCCGTCCTGCAGGCCCAGTTCCCAGTGACAGGTAAGGCCGACACATCGAGAAAGTCTTTGTGACTGTGTGTGGGGGGCCACAGGGGCTGGCGAGGACCCGGCATCTCCTCCAAACCCTGTCCTTCCGAAAGCAATGGGCAGTGGAGCGGAGGGGTGTGTGTTGGCGGGGGGGGGCGGGATGGACCGGCGGAAGGAAGCAGGGAGCCCGGGCGCAGGCCCAGCGTCGAACAGAAGCTGGTGGGATCAGGAAGCACCAGCCAAGCCAGGCTTCGCGCTGCGACGTGGTTCTAGTTCCTGCGTCTTCGTTGACCCCTTGCTGGTTCGGTCCCTGTCCCTGTCCTGCTTCCTTAGCCAAACAGAGAGCATGTCCGTCGCCGGAGGCAGGGACGCTGTGGGCTGGCTCACGTGAGACACCTCGATGGTCCGGAGGAGGGACTGGCCTTCCGTGGGGCTCAGCTCTGCACCCCGCGGCCCGTGTGCCCCGTGACACACCCACCCGAGGCTCAGGGCTCACCCCGCGCGTTTATTGTAGCTTATCTGGATAGCTACTGTGCTTTACCAAATTTCTATGATTTAATCTTTTAAAACCATTTTTGCTTGTGTAGCTGGAAGCTAGTAAGGGTGCTCATCCAATTTTTGATTTTATCTTTCACTAGGGGCCTGGTGCACGAAATTCGTGCGCGGCGGGGGGTGTGTGTGTGTGTGTGTGTGTGTGTGTGTCCCCGTGTCCCCGTGTCCCCGTGTCCCCGTGTCCCCGGGCTCCGTGTATTTTTACCAGGAACGGGACCAGCTGTGTTTACACCGAGGGGACAGGGAAGGTTGTCCCAAACTCCCCTCCTTGCTGCAGCCTGGGCGGTGCGGGGTGGAGGCAGGGAGGCCTGGCACTTCCGGCCCTGCCCGGGGTTTCAAGGGCTGAGCGTGGCGGGTTTTCTGGGAGATAGCAGCCCTTCTCAGAAAGGCCTGGGTGGGCATGAGTCACATGGAGCT